CGCCTTTAATCTCAGCACTCGGGAGGCAGAGTCAGGCAGATCTCTGAGTTTGAGGCCAGCCTGGTCTACAGAGCGAGATCCAGGACAGGCACCAAAATTACACTGAGAACCCCTGTCTCGAGGGGGGAAAAAAAAGAATGCAACACATCTTTACATCATTGAACAAATATTTCACAGCATAAATTAATGTAACACATCTTAAAATAATATTCTGCTACATTCATTTTCTTTTCTCCCCTCCCCCTACTTTTTTTGTTTATTTTGAGACAGGGTCTCACTCGAACAGTCTAGGCTGGCCTTGAACTTCTATGCTATCTGAGGATGACCTTGAACATTTCATCTTCCTGCTTCCACCTCTCAAATGCTGAGGTTACAAACGTGTCCTACCCATTCCCATAGCTGCTTGCACTCAAGTAAACACACAAAGGCTTCCATTACTTACAAACTGTATGGCCTAATGGCACGGGCTTCTCACTAGCTCTTATAACATAACTCAACCCATTTCTATTAATCTATATGTTGCCACATGTCTGTGGCATTCCTGGTCTGCTGGCGTCTTGTTGCTCCTTGGGTGGCAGGCTGGTGTCTCCTCCAACTCCACTCTTCTTTATCTCTTCTTCAGTCTAAACGTACCACCTAACCTATTCCTGTTCTGCCATAGGCCAATGCAGCTTTATTTATCAACCAATCAGAGCAATACATATTCACAGCGTATAGAAAGACATCCCATAACACACTCAGGAGGCAGAGGCAGGAGGACCTCTGAGTTCCAGGCCAGCCTGGTCCACAGAGAGAGTTACAGGACAACCAAGGTTACACAGAGAAACCCTGTCACATAAAACCAAAACCCAAAACAAACCAAAACAAAACAAATGTGTCCTACCGTGTGCCTGGCACTTTGTTTCCATTCAAGGCCAGATAAAATTCCATTGCATCAGCATACCTAGATATGTTAATCTTTTCTTTCTTTCTTTTTTCTTGTAGTGTGGATTGAACCCAGATCCTTGAGTATACTAGGCAAGCCTTCTCCACTGAGTTACAACCCCAACCCTTGTTTTATTCTCTGTTTGCAGACAGTGTCTCACTTGTGTTTTGACAATCCTGTAGGACATGTTTGACGCAGTGAATCATTAGTATTCTAAGTCTGTGTACTCTCCCTTGAACCACAGATCGTGCTTGCTGTTTGAAAGGGAAAATGAACGGCTCTAGCACACCCTATCATTCACAGTAAGATTGCAGAGTGCGACTTACCTAAGACAGTTTATTAGATGGATTTTAATACACGTGACTTGTAACAAATCTGATAGACGGAAGAAAGGCAACAGAGAGACCAGCAACTGTTGGGAACTGCTCTTACCGATAGAGTAAGTCAGAGAAAGAAGGACGGAGAAAGTGGGGCGATGAGAGCCCAGGATCTGGAAGATCCTCATTCATGAAGAGTCAGGCCAAAGAGGTCCATAGGGAAAGCAACTACAGTGAGAAACATTTCTGTCTCAGTCTGTCAGGGCTTTTATAACAAAGTACCACAAACTGGGTCATTTATGAAATCAGAAATAAAAGGCGGATCTCTGAGTTCGAGGACATCCTGGTCTACATAGTGAGTTTCAGGTCAGCCAGGGCTACATAGTCTCAACAAACAAGCAAACCCAAGAACAATTAAAAATTGAATGGAAGATGGGAGGTTACAGATCAGGGCACAGGCAGGTTTAGTGTCAGGCAAGGACCCTCTGTCTTCTTAGCATAACATCTTCTTGCTGTGTCCTCGCAGGCTGAGAGGCTGGCTTGCATTTTTATCACTGGCTTTCAATGGGTATGTTTAGATCCAGACCCCCATCCTATGTAGTTTCTTATATTCTTCAAAGGATATTTATAAAAAGGATTCCTGTGTGCTGGGCAGGGTGGTGGCCTACACCTTTAATCTCAGCTCTCAGGAGGCAGAGACAGGTAGATCTCTGAATTTGAGGCCACCAGGTCTACAGAGTGAGTTCCAGGACATCCAGGGCTACACAGAGCTATCCTGTCTCAAAATAAATCTGTTTTTAGGGATGGAATGCTCAGCAGTTAAGAGCATGTATTGCTCTTGCAAAAGACCCAAGTTTGGTGCCCCAAACCCAGGTCAGGCAGTCTACAACTACCTGTTATTTCCAACTCTCCCTGTTATCATCTTAGAGATCCGATGCCTCTGGCCTCCTTGAGCGTCTACACTTACCCTCTGCCTTAGTTAAGGTTTCTATTGCTGTGAAGAGACACCATGACCATGGCAACTCCTATAAAGGAAAACATTTAACTGGGGTAAAGTTTCAGATGTCCATTTTCATCATAGTGGGACACATGGTCATGTGCAGGCAGACATGGTGCTGGAGAAGGAGCTGAGAGTCCTACGTCTTGCAGGCAACAGGAAATGAACTGAGATACTGGGCAGTGGTATCCTGAGCATTGGAAACCCCAAAGCCCACCCCCACAGTGACACACTTCCTTCAACAAGGCCATATCTACTCTAACAAAGCCACACTTCCTAATAGTGCCACTGTATTTGGAGGACATTTTTTTTTCAAACCACCACATCCCCACTTGCACACACATATAATTAATAATTATATATAATTATTAGGCCAATGTACAGTTAGCATATAAACACAAATAGCCGGTGTGGTGGTGCATACTTTTACTTTCAGTACTTGGGAGACTGAGGTAAGCAGATCTCTAAGTTCAAGGTGTACCTGGTCTGCACAGGAAGTCCCAAGAAAGCCAGGCCCCGAGAAACTCTGTCTTGGAAAACAGAACAAAACAAAGCAAAAAGTGTATAAAGAGAAGTGCTGTACTCTAAACGACTTTTTACTCTTTTCTTTTTTGTTTTAATAGGGCTTCACATCATAATATCCCAAGCTGACTTGTAATTCACTATTGTAGCTCAGGCCTAGCCCATGGCTCAGGGCAACTTTCTTGCCTTAGCCTACAAATTCTGGGATTTTAGTCATGAGCCACTACACCAAATTCAAATCTTTTCTTTCATTTTTTTTAAACTATTGTTATTGGTTTTTCAAGACAGGTTTTCTCTGTGTAACAGCTCTGGCTGTCCTGGAACTGGCTTTGTAGACCAGGCTGAACTCAAACTCACAGAGATCTACCTGCTCTGTCTCCTGAGTGCTGAGATTAAAGGCATGTGCCACCACTGTCCGGAGTCTTTTATTACTTTTTAATGAACAGTTTCATGTAGCCCAGGCTGTCTCCAACTCCCTATGAGACTGAAGCTGGCCATTAATTCTGCATACTCTAGTCTCAGTCTCCTGAAATTCCCGGATACTGGCATGCCCCATTATCATTCTTTGTCTTAGAACTCTTCTGTGGCTTCCAAAGACTTCAGCATGACATTCCACTTTTTATGTTCTTCTTAGCTATCTCTACCGCTTACTTTCGCCAGTCTTTCCAGGATTATCTTTTGTTACCAGCACTTTTCCTGTCCTACTACTTTCAGGTTCAAAGCCTCAAACACAGCATTTTTCTCTCTACATGTCCCTGTCCGTCCTGGGACTTGCTATGTAGACCAGGCAGGCCAGGAACTCGGAGATCTGCCTGCCTCAGCCTCCGGAGTGCTGGGACTAACAGTGTGCACCGCTATGCTTGGCTCACTGCATTTAAAAACAAACAAACAAACAAACAAACAAACAAAAACAAAGCCTAGAGACAAGGTAAGGTTTTGTTGCCCAGGATGGCCTCCAGCTCTTGGACTCATAGTGTCCTCTATCTCAGCCTTCTCACTGCTGGGACAACAACGGACACAAGGCCCCAAGTTAATGATATGTCACTGCCTTTCTTGTCCGCATTGAACCTTCCTGGATCTTTCTAGACATTCTTTTTTTTTTTTTTTTTTTTTTTTTTTTTGGTTTTTCGAGACAGGGTTTCTCTATGTAGCTTTGCACCTTTCCTGGAACTCGCTTTGGAGACCAGGCTGGCCTCGAAATCACAGAGATCCGCCTGGTTCTGCTTCCCGAGTGCTGGGACTAAAGGCGTGCGCCACCACCGCCCGGCTAGACATTCTTATGATCGTCAAAGCTGCTTAGAATTGCCTTCCTCTGAGATTCTGCACTTTGCATTTCCCTCTTCTTTATGGCCGAACTGACCCATTCTGTCTCCTTGACGGTCACTAAAATGATGACATCCCACCCCCACTGGCAACTGAAACAAAATTTACAAATTGGTTGGATCGGAAGAGGGTGCACGCTTTTAATCCCAGCTCTCTGAGGCAGAGGCAGAAGCAGGAGCATCTCTGCGAGTTGGAGGCCAGCCTGGCCTACATAGTGAATTCCTTGACAGGCAGGGATATGTAGAGAGACCCTATCTCAAAAATACAAACAACAGTAACAAAGCAAATTGTTTAGCCGGGCGGGGGTGGCACACGCCTTTAATCCCAGCACTCGGGAGGCAGAACCAGGCGGATCTTTGTGAGTTCGAGGCCAGCCTGGTCTACAGAGCGAGGTCCAGGAAGGCGCAAAGCTACATGTACAGAGAAACCCTGTCTCGAAAAAACAAAAAACAAAAACAAAACAAACAAAAAAAAAAAACAAAGCAAATTGTTTGATCCCAGCATTTGTGAGGCAGTGGAAGCCGGGGCTCTGTGAGTTCAAGGTCAGCCTGGTCTATACAGCGAGTTCCAGGGCAGCCAAGGTTAACACCGAGAAGCCCTGTCTTGAAAAGACATACAAACCAAAAAAATCCCGAATTGGTCATGCCCTAATTATTCCTTATTTATCTGTAACTTATTCCTAATTATACAATCTCTTGTATAATTAAGGTAATCTTTTACAATCTGGTAAAAGATTTTCGTCCCTTCCATTTGCGTTCGTGTGCACCGACCTACCCACGGAGATAAATCACTTTAGTGTTAAGCGTGCACAGCCGGAGCGCCCGCACGACTTGACCCCCAGAAGATGGCGGCCGCGTCTCTCCACCCACATTAGGGCGGGGCCCCGCGTCACGTGTCCCGCCCCAGCTCTCGCCGCGGAGGCTGACGGGAGGTGGAGAGAGAACGAGGCTGTCGGCCATTTTGTGTCTGTTTCCTGCGGGACGCGGCGGTGGCGGTTGGTTCGGAGAAGCGGGCGATTTCCTTCTGGTTTTTCCCCAGCTTCTTTTCGCCTCCTTTATCCGCCCGGTCTGTGGAGTCGCGGTTATGGGTCGCAAGAAGAAGAAGCAGCTGAAGCCGTGGTGCTGGTATCCTTTGTGGGCTTTGGCGTGAAGGCCGAGCGTGGGTGTCGCTTGTTGAGGACTCGGTCTCTCCTGCGAGGCCCGCGCTAGGCCTGTGACGGGGCACGGCCGGGCCCCGCGGGCTTGGGTGGCTGGGCTGGGGTTCGGGTTGGCTTCTGGGGTACCCACGGCGGGAAGGCTCCGGTCTGTGGTGGAGCCGGGCTCGGTGACTCAGGAGGAGCCTGTTGGGTGGTGTGAGTGGTGGCCTGGAGCCCCCCCCCTTCCAGTGCAGTCGCCCCTAAGGACGCCGTTGCTTCGTTGAGGATCCCGCAGAGGGACTTGCGTTTGGGGTTACATGCTAATTGACTCCCTAGAGAGCTGGATCATGAATGCGCCCCCACCCCCCCCACCCCGCATTCTCTCCCCCCCCCCATGGCGGAGGGCTGATTTCCGCGTCCCTCTCTGGCGCCTTCATCTTCAGGAAGCTTTCGCTTAACTGGGTGGAGTTTCTAGTATCTTGTTACCCAGTTTTGTAGGACTGGGCCAAAGGGCTGTTGGGAGAGGAAGCCATTTTTCTCATGTTTTCTGGAAGCGTTAACGTGCATTTTACATTCAGCTTGTTTTTTTTTTTTATCTATTACATGTAAATAATTTGTATTAAAATAGTCGGCACATAGGTCAAAAATCGGTCCCGAGTTTTGTGATAACGCTCATAGGAAAAATCTTGTGAGGTCAGAACTCCTAGTATTATGGATTAAACATACGTTGAGTTTACATTCCCTGATGGAGTAAATTAATATGGAATGGAAGGCATTCTATGGATTGTTTAGTTGAATGTGCCCTTTGCCGTGAAGTTGATCTTAGAATATAAATATTGATGGATTCCCAGTTTTGATTCTAATGTGTATCTGATGAATTCTCGTGAACCCTCCCCCCCCCCACACCTCCCTTTTAGCTTTTGCAGGGGGGAGGCGGCGTTTCTCTGGCTGTCCTGAAACTTGCTCTGTAGACCAGGCTGCCTCTGTAGATCCACCTGCCTCTGCCACCCAAGTGCTGAGATTAAAGTCGTGGGCCACCACAACCCCATTTGAAATTTTTTTTTTTGAAGGTTCACCAAAGTCATTTAATCTGTCAGTTTCTCATTCATTTTTATG